CTTCAGAAGTAGCAAGTTAATTATAATTGGGTAGGCTGGAAAGTTTTATTTTTAAATTGCTATTAGCATTATATGTAGTGGTTAAGGCACTGGATGAAACAGGAAACCATGAATTCTAGCTATCCTAAAGATGCTTTTGCACAAGGCAACTGGACTTTCTTGTTTTTCTTTGAAGATGTTTCGCTCCTCATCCAAGAAGCTTCTTCAGGTCTGACTGGATAGTGGGGAATGGAAAGATTTATACTCCTGCAGACAACTGTTCTTTTGCATTCTGCAGGAGTATAAATCTTTCCATTCCCCACCATCCAGTCAGACCCGAAGAAGCTTCTTGGATGAGAAACGAAATGTCTTCAAAGAAAAACAAGAAAGTCCAGTTGCCTTGTGAAAAAGCATCTTTGGGATATCTATGACCTGGATGACTGAGAATCTTCATAGACATGAATTCTAGCCCTGCCTTAGACACAAAGCCAGCTCAGTGATCTTGAGCCAGTCATTCTCCATCAGTCCTAAGAAAGAGGCAATAGCAAACCAAATCCAAAAATCCTTTGCCAAGAAAACTGCAGGGACTAGTTCAGGCAGTTGCCAGGAGTCAACACCAACTTTAAGGCTTGCATATGCAATCTCCTCCCCGCTTAATAGTGCAACAATATTTTTTTTAAACTGTTAAAATGGATCTTTCCAATCAGGGACTTTATCTATCTTGCCTTATTTGAAAATGCCAGGAATTGGAATTACATTTTTTTTATCTGTGAAGGATATACTTTCCTATTGACCTAAAGGTCTTCTCCATATATTAGCAATACCCTTTGATGCATTCAGCCACAGATTAAAGTGACCTCTGTAAACCAACAGCTTCCTGGTTTTAACACATCGGATTGGAGCCTAAATTGATTTAACATTGCCAGAGGTGGGGGCAACCCCTCCCCCCATATAGACATGTCAGAGAGGAATAGTAGTATCCTTTATTTGTGGGTTTTCCCCCCCTCTAAGGAGCAAGAAGCAGCATTTTACAGTAACACCAGATCTGCAATAATGGATGTATCCTAATTGAATTTTATTATACTGACTAATCCAAGTAATGTTTTAAACAATTTTTGATTATGCATTCTGAGTGAAATAATGTATGGCTTTCAGTTTCTCTTAAATGGTGTATTCTTTTATTATAAGAGTGACCTCTAGTGTGTAGTTTGCAGCATGTTTTTCCATGGCTATTCATTATATAAAATGAGAGGGCATTCTATTGTTTTAGCGGAAGGATGAAAATTTTCTTGAATAATTTAATGTTGCATTCTGAATTTTAGCACAGATAAAGAAACAAAATCTCCAAAGGGCAGAGCATCTGGGAGAGCAACGGTGATAGAGGATGTCCTTTGCAAGTCGAAGACCCCCAAATTCTCTCTCCAGCATTTCCTAAAAGGACTTGAAAAATTCTTCCTTCAGTGCACAAAGACCCATTGCTAGTCAATGCCAACAAAGTCAGTGTGCCACAGAAGTAGCCTAAACCCTTTGACTACTTGCACACAATCACACCGATCATGTTCTGACCACAGCAGTCTCCTCCTTTCTCCGCACAACGTTGCTTTTCCCTCCCAAGCCCATGAATTAATCAGTCTTAGATTGTCATGAGACATGTTAGTTTCTAATGCAGTATTTCCTCATCAAGTTAATACCACTTCACATTCAAGATGCATCAATCCGTAATGGTTTGTCAACAGATTATCTTGAAATCAGGTGATCCCTGAGGTAAGTCTGATCGTGGTTGGATGAAGAGGTGCAAGCATTCCCTTCTTCTCTGGCCACCAGTCATCCTCCACACAAGCTATCTCTCTCCCAGCGTTTGCTTCCTTCGTTAGTGCCTTGCTTCATCATCAGTTCTTTTCCTACCCATCCTTCTTTCCCTTCTCCCTAGTTTTGACTCCAAACTCTTTAGTGTTTGTACAAGATAAAAATCAGAACAGCAGAGCGCTACTATTTCCCTCCCGGAGAAAAAGGGCAGCACATTTATGCTTCTCTGTTTTAACAGCATTCTGAAATACATCTTTATTTTGAGATGTATCTTTATTTTAAGCTGCCCCACCTTTTCTCATTGTAAAGTCAAGAAAATAATATTAGGGTTTTTAACAGGGCTTTGTTGTTGTACAGTTCTGGTGTATTTTTCAGTTTTAGTCATTCATTCCCTCATTACCTCAGCAGCTAGTCATTTTCAATTCTCCATCAATATGGCCTAATTAATTGCACAATCACTGCTGATTTGCTTCCCTCCCCGTTAGTATTCTCTCTCTCTCTCTCTCTCTCTCTCTCTCTCTCTCTCTCTCTCTCTCTCTCTCTCTCTCTCTCTCTCTCTCTCTCTCTCTCTCTCTCTCTCTCTCTCTCTCTCTCTCTCTCTCTCTCTCTCTCTCTCCCTCTCCCTCTCCCTCTCCCTCTCTCTCCCTCTCCCTCTCCCTCTCCCCTTCTCTCTCCCTCCCTCCCCTCTCTCTCCAGCTTACTTTAATTTGAAAAATATTCAAGAAGATTCTGACAAAACAATCCAGGCTGGAACCTGAAATCAGATTATTAGCTCCTCAATATATTTCAGAAAGAAGCACAATTATGAATACTAACTCTCTATTTTTTGCAAGCCTGAAAGTAGTTATTCCCTCTTTTCCTTTTACTCTCCAGAAAACTAGGGAGGTTCCCTTTTGAAATGCTTCCCACATCTCCTCTGTTTCTGTGAGATACTTTTTGCATGACAGTTATTTAGCCTGTGGCTCTTCCTCCTATCTCCCAAGGTCCTTCCCACATATCATTACCCCATTTGTTGTTTCCCTGATTACCTACAAGAAATAGTATTGTCACAAATCAGGAGGACAGTATTCAGCAATGTCTTAAAACAGATGCAATAAAAACAGGCTAGAGATCAAAAATGCATAGAGCAATGTTTATGCTATTATTGTTTTGTGATATCGAGAGGATAAACATCAGTAATTTAACTCAGTAGGGGGAAAGGGCCTAAGAAATGTACTGCCAGAGACAGGTCTGTGATGGCCATCTCAGGACACCTGACATTGTAGCATATTGATTAGTAATATGATCTTTGACTGCAAATCAACAAAATAAATAAGATTTGCATGCATGGTTAATATAGGGTTTACTACATGAACATCTTTTCCATGCTAAGCTACCATACCGGTTATACCATCTAATCTGACGACTTCTGCTTTGTCTACATGTCTCATACGATAGCATTAGTTCATGTTGATTACTCTCTGTGTATCTAATGGAGAACCATCATCAGTGAGAAACTTTAAGGTTGGTGTATAACCAAAGAGTTGCTATGCTAGTGCCTATCTTTGATTCTATTGCTATTCTTGCATCTATTATTTTGTTGCATGGTGACCCTAGCATAATTGTGGCTAACGCAATGGAAGTCCAGATTAGCCTGCTTGTTCTTGACAAACCATGCTACTGGTAACCACCTACCATTAATGCTGTTACAAGTGCTCTAAAGATAGATTGGCTTTATCATTATTCTGCTGCAAAATAAAAATGGATAGGCATCATTACTCAAATTATATGTCCTCAGAAGGTCTTTCACACAGGGCAATATTAAAAAGCACATTTAAATGGAAAGCAATTTTCTCTCTTTGCTGCTTTCTATATTCCCTTATGTGGCATTTGAAGTAAAAGCTTTCCTTGGTGCTACACTAATTTTCTTTTCCTCTTTTAACCCAACTGTGAAATCATAAAACTTAATGTTCATGCCAATAATTTGTGGAGACATTTATGATGTTATGCATTTATTCCCATGATATGATCTCCTGTGGTGCAAATAAAACAGAAATATGTGTTGTGTTATACTTAGGGGAAAAAGCCGATTTTTTTTTTACATTTTGCTTTTAAACCTTCTGGCTCCCCATCAGTAATAAGTCTTCTGTTATGAACTTTGAGATCAACCATTATATCTTTTGAATTACTCTGAAAGAAATTCTTGCATGTCAGCCATCTTTCACCCATAGCTTTCTTTTGTAAATTTTGATTCCCATCCCTCTTAATAATATATTATTATGCTTTTGGCACTTACACCATTTTCTTTTGGCCTAATTTTGTTCTGACATTTGCATAAAATTATGCAAATGTTATCATATCCCAGAACCAGAAACAGCTGTTTAACTTCTGTCCAGAAAGACTTTGGAACTTCATTCAAAACCCATGGATTGTAGTCAATAGTTTATTTAACAAAATCATTAATTAATCTTACAATTATTTTTAGACACCCTAGGATTTTTACTGCACTTTTGTTTTGTTTTTAAATGTTGAATAAAGTAAACGTTTGAAAGAATGAAATCAAATGAATTTGAAAGTGCCAGTAAAAGATAATATTTATAGCTTGGGGTTGAATTGTGGAGTCCTTGGTGCTCTGTGTACTTGTTCACTTGCAGACATTTCATTACCAAACTAGGTAACATCAGTAATACCACAGAATTTGAAAGTGATATTTTTTTATTCAAAAATAATGCAGATAAAAGGACAGGAATTAGAACACAAAGGCTTTTTTTTGCAGAATTTAATTGGTATACTATGGAGCAGTAATATTTTACTACTCAGGACATGAAAAATGAAAAAAGAACTAAACTAAAATTAAATGACTAAATGTTAAACATAAAGAAGTCCAAACTAATGACAACAAGTATAAGAACCAGCCTCAGAACTGACAATGAACATCCTGAAATGGTGGATAATGTTTGCCTTTTATGACTGACTATCAATACTAAAAGCACCAGCAGTTAATAGATACAGTACACTGCAGACTAGCCTTGGTCTTAAAAATATATATCCAGATGTGGGGATATGCCTACACATCATCACAAATATCAAATAATGAAGGCAATAATTTTCTTTATGATACTTTATGGAGGTGAAAATTGGACTTCGAAGAAGCAAGGTAGGAAGACTATTAATGTTGTGAGCTCTGAAGAATACCATGGATAGCCAAGAAAACAAACCAATGAATCATAGACCACATGCATTCAGACCTCTCACTTGAGGTACAAATGACTAAGCTCAAATTATCATATTATGCACATATTATGCAAATATCTAGCTCTCTTGAGAAGACTATAACACTTGGAAAGGTGAAAAGTAAAGAAGTACCAGCAGCAAGGTAAATAAGATTTAATTACTGTGGTGATGGATGCACCAGGCCCAAAGGGCCAGGATGGGGACAGATCATTCTAAGCAACTTCCATCTATAAAGTCCCTCGGGGTTGACATAAACTTCTCCAATCTCTCTGTTCTGCAATGCAGGGGATGAGGGGAAGGGAAAAAAAGCAATTTCTGTAAGCAATCTCTCCTGTACCTGACCCCTTCGCCCTCCACGCATTCCATATCATGTATGTCCATATGTCATAGTTGTCAGCTGATGGGGGGGATAGATATTGATCTTCTCCATCCATCTTGACTTTGGACAATCAAGGCTTTCATATAACTTTTTAAAAAATAAAATAAAGAAGGTGTAGACTAGATTGTCAGCCTTAGTCATACCTATGCCATATGCAGCATCCAAGCTACAATCAGTTTTGACACATTTTGCCAGTATGTGACAAGCATGACTTTATTCAAATTTAGGTTTTCTAATTCAGAAACTACCTTGCAGTATACTTGAAGCCTGCATCCCATTATCTTCTAGGAGATACTGCAAATTATTGACATCCACACTGGGTGCAAACTTCAGTATTATTTTAATGTTAATGTTAATACAGCATCAGTACGTAGAATAGCTTTCTATCTTTTCATCCCTTGACAAATGTCTCAAAGGAAAGTCTTTTATGCATGAGCATGCTTCTATGTCATTTAATAATTTAGATGACTACAATTTCATTATGTGCAAATTAGCCTTAAATTCATCATTACTTTCTTGGATCATTCTGACTTGGGTACTGTTTTCACAGCTTTTTATAGGAGATATATTTTGCAAAACACAAACCATCGCCAGCATTCTTGGGTCCAAAAGGAATATTAAAGCCGCCCTCCCCATTTCAACAGCTGAACGTAAGGGAATGCTTTTATGCATGGCTTCCAGCTGGCATTTCCATGGAAACAGAGAACTTGATTATCCATTCACTCACATGTGTGTAAATGGGTGAATAGTATTTCCCATCACAGAACCTTTGTGAAAAACTAAAAAAAAAAAAAAGGAGAACCTCAAGCCATCTCTTCTTTATGGAGCTTGTCATTGAATACATATTTCTATAGCAGCTATATTTAAACCCTTGAACTGACTGGCAGAAACAAAGATGTATATTGTATTTCAAAAGGGGAATTGATATCTGAATCATTATAGCAATACCAATTTATCCTATCTATTTCTATATCCGTGTCTCTGTCTCTCTCAATATATTCCTAAATCCAGCAATTAATGAGTTACTCTTTCATAAAAATTCTATGACCTTATGGGGTTACTTAGTTTACATCTCAACTATCCAGCAAAAAATTATATTTAAAATAGCTCACCATAAAGTATAAAACAATAAACAAATAAATAAATCAAAGAAAAAAATTCTAGAAGAAAAAAAAGGTTAGCAGATCGAATTTGCAGCTAGGAAATGTAAAGTTTAAAGAAACAGAAGAAAACTCTTGTCACTTTCTTGAGAAACACTGAAATAATTCAGCGGCTTTCTCCTTGGTATTGCTGTGAATCAAGATTTTTTTTTTCAAACTGTTCAACTTCCATCCTCCTGGTAACCTGCGTACTTGAAGCCGGCATGCTTCCTAAAATTTAGACTTTGGAAATGTGGTAGAAGTCACCAACCTGCTTGTGCTGCAGCCCTAAGACAACTTTGTTGCTCTAAAGCAGTGGTTCTCAACCTTTTTAATGCCGCGACCCCAACTGGTCGTAAGTCGAGGACTAAACCGGTCGTAAGTCGAGGACTTTCCCTGCCCGGGAGCGCCGCACATGCGTGGTTCCGCCCCCTGCGCCGGCCGAGGCGTAGTTGGCAAGCGGCAGAGACGGAGCAGGCCGACCACCAGCTGGCCCAGCCCAAGGGAGGTAAGGCACCTGCCAGAAAAGGGGGGAAAAATGGCGGACAGCCTTGCTTGGCGACCCCCGTGAAATGGTCGATCGACCCCAAATGGGGTCCCGACCCACAGGTTGAGAACCACTGCTCTAAAGAACATTGCAAACAAATCTTGCAAGATACTGTATATCATGGTTCCCTTCAGCCTGAAGTTCCTGGAAGAAGGGTTAGGGAAGCTCACCATCATATTCTGAGGAACAGAAATGTCTTTCGAGTGGTTACAATGAAGAGTGAAAAAGGAAGTTGTGGGAGGGTGCGAGGAAATAAAGTACAACATGGGCATACTTGAGCTGAAGAAGCTTCTTGGATGAGAAGTGAAATGTCTTCAAGGAAAAACACCTGCCTTTTGAAAAAGCAACTTTAGGATGGACATATTTGCTTTCTCTGACATTTCTTGAGAACTATTTTTCTAACCAATGCTAAAAATTCCCTGAATAATTCTTTATAAATGTTCCTTAAGCAACTGGTAATGCTGATATTACTATTTTACAGAGCTAGAGAGCTATAAGACCAACTATGGCAAATCAGCAAAGATCACAACCATAGATCTTTTACATGGCATAAAATGCATGGCATAAAAATGGCTGAATTAATCCCTACAGTGTTCGCACATTTGTATAATTTTGGGACGCAGTATTAAATGTTGCATGGTCACCCAGTTCAGGAAATGCCAAAAGAGAAAATATCTGCCTAAAAACAAACAAATACTTGACTACTGCTGTAAGCAATTTTGCATTGTAATGACGTCTAGCTTCCTCCTGCCTTCAGTGTGTGTGTGTGTGTGTGTGTGTGTGTGTGTGTGGATAAGGATGGATATTATCCTTGCTTACACTGGCTAGCATCTGTTCCCCTCCCTGCCCAGAATATTTATGGGAGTAATAAAAATCTCAAATTCACTGTCTCCAGGGGTCTATCTAGAGTTTATTTGAATTATATTTATGTCCTATGCTTTGAAATCAATGGAACTTGAGTTATAATGAAATATTCACATCTTTTCATAATAAAAGCCCTAACAGGAAACTTCCTGATACACACTCTAGGAGACAGACTTTACCCCTGACAGAAGATTACTCCTTAATATGAAATTCATAGACATGTTTGCTCGGACAGAGTCATGTTGGCAGTCTGCTAGATAAGTTGGGAAAAGGTTAAACAGTGACACCTCTAATTGGTTTGTCAAATGGAGATTGTCTGCTACCATACTGTATTTAATTACGTATATCTGCTTAACTTTCTTGTATTCCTTTTCTAGGAACTGGACATTTGTTAATATTGCCACATCCCAATACTGATATTCTCATGGATCTATAAATCATTTAAATAAATATATAAATAAATAAACAAACGTAAACGTAAACCCATGCTTTCTAGGGTATATACCAGAAATGGGCAAACAAGAGTTCACCCTCAGCATCTGCTGGATTTAAATTGTAAAAAAATGGAATATACTTCAGGCTCCAAAAATGCTCTCAGATGAGGAAGAAGCCTTTCAAATGAAAGACATTCCGAAAAGTCATTGTGACCAAACCATCCTATGGAAGAGACGGTGCTCCAGAAGAAAGAAAGAACTACTTGACAGATTGAGGGCAAAGCTTCGTCTTGGTGGAGGATTCCAAATATGAATCTGTGGGTCTTTGTCAACGTGCCGAAGAGAGGAACCTGGCAGGGTAGACAGAGGACACTTTGTCAACAGCCTGGGCTCCTGCACAGCTCAGCCTGTTCGCGCACTCTCTGCTTTTCACTTCTGCCATCCCAAGAAAATGCAGTGGGTCCTCATCTCCACCCTTCTTACAATCCCTTATACTCAGCAGGTAAGTGAGCTGTCTAGAAAGATGACCTTGTCATACCGAAGGGTGATCTGTTATCCGAACAAGCAAATCTTACTTAGAGAAAAGGGTAGGGCATAATAATCAATTGCTTCTAATTGTTTGCATTAGTTGCCTGTTTGAAGTCACACTTTTTATCACAACTTCTTGATTGAAATCCTTTCCCCCCCACAAGCTTTCAATTTGTGTATAAAATATATGTGTTTATAAGTATAAATAACAACCACAGTATAAGCTGTTGGCTCCTTTGTTTAAGATCCTATTGTAATTTCATAGCACAAATTATTCATCTTTTAAAGATACAGAATGTTATAGAGCTGCTTTCACTTCAACTACATCTTTGCATGACCACTAAAAATTATCCAAACTTATCAGAAATAGACTTTATAAAACAGTTAATTCTCTCACTTTTTAGTATGGATTTACAGAAGAGGCATTTTGCTTAATAACATTTTTTTCCTCATGAGATTCCTACAAAGTGCTTCTATTTTAATTTTTGCCCTATGAAGTTAATTGAGAAAGCTGAAGTGTTAATTCTTATAATGTGAACACAAGAAGACCAAACTAGGAATATATTGTAGAACATTCAAATGATAAAAAGGCAGATTACTGTAAGGGATAAAATGGGGGACATCTAAAATTTTTAAGGTGATCTAATCTGTTGATCTGTTAAGCATATGCTTTATTAAGGGATAATTTTAATATACTCTTCAAAACTCAAATTGTTTATCTGTTTTTATGGTGAAAATATGCTTCCTAAATCATGCTATAATTTAATTAACATAAATTAAGCTATTCTTTTGCATGGATCCAGTGTAATAGGATTATGTCATATGATATTAATTGCAAATTGGCTCTTTGTTATCTTAATAGAATGAAAGTCCTACTTAAATTGGTGTGAATATTTCAAAATGACTCAAATTCCTTTCATTTCAAAGTGTAGGACATAAATAATCCGGATCCACACTACAGTCTACAGTAGGACGGATTAAAGGTTTACCTGAATTTACTGATTGCATATTCAACAGATAGAGCTGCAAAAATCTGGGTAAGGTAGTATTTTGTATGTTACCTTGCTGCCATCTGGTGGTTCTCTGGATTTTTGCAGCTCAGATCTGGTAGCCTATTTTATTTTATTTTATTGCTTTTTAATTTTATTTCTAATTGATTGCTCAACTCGTTAGTTTTTTTTTAATTCTGGAAAGGACTTTTGAAAGATTGACTTCTGGTTGATTAACCAAACCAGAACTAGAGCTGAAAGAAGAGTTGTTATAGTGTATGGAATTAAATACAAAAAAGAAATAAAAAGGAAAAAATGATTTTAGATATTCTCAAATATTTGCCTTGCATGAAATATGCAGGTCCATTATGCCTCCAAGTTAGCATCTCAATAAGACTTTCAGCTTCCTGAATGATACCACACAGCATTATTAAAATTATAATTTTTAAAAAATAAAATGATAAAGATCATTAAAATTAGGGGCATGAACATTTCCATGAGCAAAAAACATGATGTCTGACTACTTCAAGGGAGGCAAAACACCACAATTGAAGAATGAAGCTAGCTTTTGTTTTATTTCAATTTAAGTACAGAATCCAGTGCTCTGTGATAATTTGGCACTGCAATTCAAAGAATTCCCAACTGGAGTCCAGGTTGGAGAATGCTGTAACCAAGGATATAACCCTGTAAAAGTGTTGTGCTTTGTTGAATAAACTCCAGATGGGAAGGTTTACAAATAGCACCAAACTATATTGTTTTACAAATTACAATGATTGGTGCATACAACAGGCTAAGCCAAATTATAGTATGGATTAGAGTGCTATATGAACCTTCTCTAAATGAAAAGTAGTATGGGAAGTCTCTGTAGGAAAGCAAATGTTCTTTGTTCCAGAATATCTTAATTTGGTACTTTTTTTGTCCTGCAACTGCAATAATCTTTGGTTAGCATACCCACTGGCTGTGCTGATTGAGGGTGATAGGCGTCATCGTTAGCCATTTAGTCATATCTGACCCTCAATCACTTTATAGACCAGACATGTGAAACTCGCGATGTCACGTGACATCGTGCAACGTATCGGGACGGTTTTGCCATTGCCGGCAATCGGGTGGGCGTGGCTTCCGGATGATGTGTCCGGCCCACGGGCCGGCAGTTTGACATCCCTGCTATAGACCAACACTCTCTATGCACCTCTTTCTCACACCACCTCCTTCAGATCCGCCATAGTCATCCCGATGTCATCCTTCATAGTGTCCAGTCAGCAGCTACTACAGTGGCCCCTTCTTTTTCTTCTGATCGTGCCCAGCATGATTGACTTTTCGAGTGAGTCAGCTCTCATGACGTGATTGAAGTATGACAGCCTCTGTTTGGGGGTCTTGGCTTAAAGTGATATTTTGGGGGCGATTTGGCCTAGCACTTCGTTTGTTATTTTTGCAGTCCACAAGGTGTGTAATAGTTGCCTCCAGCATCACAGTTCAAAGGCATCCACCCTTCTCCTATCTGCCTTTTTCAGAGCCCAGGTTTCGCAGCCATAAGTAGTAATTGGAAAAATTATTGTGTTAACTAATCTTTTCAAGTGCTACACATCCTTCCAATCTCAGGGCTGCAGTCATCACTTTGGTCGATTTTAGAGCCCAGGAAGATGAATTCCTTTACTGTTTTGATGGTATCATTGTCGATCTGCACTCTGACCTGTGTGTTCTCTGCAGTTGTTGTTATCTTTGTTTTCTTGATGTTAAGGTGCAGTCCAAATTTGGGGTGATAGGAGCTGGAGTTAAATCCATCTGTAATGTATTGAATCAGAGAAGAAAACATCTAGGAAACATCCTTAAGTATAAATGTATATAAGGACACATTTGTATAAATGTATATAAGGACACATTTGCTGGTCTCTGCTTTCCATGTGGACTGAGAGTAAAACTGGGTGAAAATATTTTGCAGCATCAACATCCTCCTCCATGAACTGCCCTGATCCACATAGGTATATACTCTCAAGGCCAATAAAGTTATTTTGGCCATTTACCCCAATCGGCAGAGAAATATAGTAATGAATCTTCCTGAGGTAATTGTCTTGACCTGCCTGTGTGCCCTGAGTGATATGGAGTCGTTCCACTCCAATGCAACTCCAGACAAAGTCTCCTTCCATCTGGATTCTTAATGCATGTATTGCTGAACCAAGCACACTTGACTTGGCTCTTTGAGATATTAAACAAAGCTGAAGAGAGCACATAGATATGTAAGTCAATTGCAGTCCAGTTAAATCAGTTTTCACTATGCCTGCATGCCAAGAAATGTCATGCTTAGACCAAGATGTGACACAGATGTCCTATTTGGCCTCATTTGCCTTGATATCCCTGGTAGGGGGTGTTTGTCATTTGGTTGATAGTCTTGTGCTTCAGAAATATAAGAGAAAATGTCTTTTTCTGTGGCAAGGCTAATGGTTGCCTTTGTTTAGCCAAGGAAGATAATAATAATAATAATAATAATAATAATAATAATAATAATAACAACAACAACAACAACAACAACAACAACAACAACTGCTTCCATCCTGCGACGATATCTGTAATACCATCAAACATCCACGTCTGCCTATCCCAGGTCCTTGGTAAGGACTCGATAGGTAGACAAAATGCCAAATCCAGTCTGAACATCTGGCTGACTGTGCAATGATCATAATAATAATAATAAAGTTGGAAGGGACCTTGGAGGTCATCTAGTCCAACCCCCTGCTCAGGCAGGAAACCCTATACTATTTCAGACAAATGGCTGCCCAGTCTCTTCTTAAAAACTTCCAGTGTTGGAGCATTCACAACTTCTGGAGGCCGGTTGTTCCACTGATTAATTGTTCTAACTGTCAGGAAATTTCTCCTTAATTCTAGGTTGCTTCTCTCTTTGGTTAGTTTCCATCCATTGCTTCTTGTCCTGCCTTCAGGTGCTCCCTGTGACTCCCTCCCTGTGGCAGCTCCTGAGATATTGGAACACTGCTATCATGCCACCCCTCATCCTTCTCTTCATTAATAGATGATAGACATATTGTTCTCTTGCTTTGGTCCTGAATCTTCAATGGCTCATGAGATCAGGCTGTAGGGAAACACATTAGGCATTACTTTTAGGACTCCTAAATAGACTTGTATGCATTATGCTATTTTGTGTATTAGGAATCATTGAGGTGGAAGAGTAATTGTACAGGTTGTAGAGTGACCCACCCTCTTGTAATAAAAGGATATTAATATTCAGGATTTTGTTGCACTTGGAAAAAAAACAAGTCGTAATATGTCACTGCAAGCTTTCCAGCTCTCAGATGAGTCCACCTGTATGAAAGCTTTCTTTCAGGGCATCAGGCCAAAGGCAACATCAAGGAAAGAGTGGAGAAGGCGCAGCCAACAGTGAACTGCATCAGCACCAAGAGTTATGTCACTGGCCCTGCAGATGCCCACCTGTGCCAAGCTGCAGGCCTGGGGTGAGCCTGCTGAGAGATGGCTGTGGATGTTGCTGGATGTGTGCCAAACAAGCAAACACCACCTGTAATGAAGCAGAGGTCTGTGACCATCACAAGGGACTCTACTGTGATTACTCTGCAGATAAGCCTAGGTATGAAAGAGGAATATGTGCATGTAAGTCTCCACTGTTTTCTTTTCTATTTCTTATCAAGGGGCCGCAGGGCCGCAAAGAAAGGGCACTCCCAACTGACCCACGTTCTGTACCCTGCTATTTTTCTTCCAAAACAGAGATAAGGCAGCACACTCTGAAATAGTGGCTTGTATCACTCTCTGAAATAACAGAACGTATTCTTTAGCTATTAACGACACTGAAAATTAATTGAACAAGTGAATTTTTGAACTGGAACTTTCTTAATTGTTAGGAATCTAGTCCCACCAAAGCTTTCCAAAGCTAATTAAATAGATTTCCCCTTTTAAAAAGATTTTTAGGATTAGAAAGCTGAGATAATGGAGATATACCATTAGATCCTGTTGTTGTTTTTTTGTCTATGGAAAATACTGAAGAACAACAGAAAATATGAACTATCAAACAAGAATGCCTCAAATCTTAACAAACCTGCATGTGTTTTTATGTGCATGCAAAGTGTTTTGAATAATGCGAAACATTCTTTAATACTAATTACAGGCTTCATTATTTATTAAATTTATATTCCATCCATTTTCTTGATAGGTAACTTCAAACATATTGCCTGCGATATTTATATTTAATTGATTTCCCTGACATTTATTTATTCTGTTTTGCTATTTCAAGATATGATAGCCGTTGGCTGTGAGCTAAATGGTATGTACTACACCAATGGCCAATCTTTCCAGCCTTCTCCTCTGTTTTCGTGCCTGTGTGTGAACGGTGCCATTGGATGCACACCGGTGTTCATCCCGAAGTCAGCATCAAATGACTGTGCATTGCACAAGGACAAAAAGAAGGATGGACATTCCAACTGTGCTTTAGGGCATTTGGAAGAATGGCGATCAAGACATTACCGAATAATGTCAGGTATACAAGGTTGGACCAATGAAATATTATTGCTGTTAAAAAAAAAGAAAAGAACAGAAGACGTATCTCATTAACTAAAAAAAAAACTAATAATAAGTATTTTATTTGTTAAATTTAGTTGCCATCTATCTCCACCATAGGGCTGCTCTTTTTTTTTCTTTTTACCAAAAAGCAACAAGATTTGAGAACAGGGCTGGTCTCTCCACATCTGCCAGATATCCAAGAATATTCTACTTCCCCCGTAAATTAGAATCCATTCAAAATCATGCACATGGCTGCTAAAGTTTCAGGATAGTCTGGCATTATCATGAGATCTTGTGTGATTTCTGCAATCTCATGTGAAACGTTTACCTTGAGAGATTGGCTTTCTTTGTGAGGGCAGGGGAGGAAGAAATGCCTGACCTACTGCATGATGTCAAACTCAGGGCCAGAAAAGCTGATGCCTGTTTCAAGCTTGCTGGGAAGCTCCACTTTTTAATTTGGGGTTCAAGGATACCAATCCTTTTCTCACACCTGACATATTAGGATAAATAAGCAATTGTGGAAAAGCTGCCTCAAATTCTAAAAACCAAGCAGCTGACCACTTTTATGCTATTAATACATGGTTTGCACGCAGCCTTATAAATAATTGTTTTCACAGTCGTTTATTTTGCCAGATGCGAAGCTTTATTGGAATGTCCGCTGTCTTTCTTGCTTTTTTCATTCACTGTCCTAGTTAACAAGTCCCTGTAGAAAAGGCAATGCAATTACGTTACATACAATAAATCTAAATATACTATCTGTTAAAATATGCCGCTTTGTAACCTCGCTTTATTTATTTCAGATCTGTGACAGTTTTTACTTTGCTTCCTGCACTGAGATTTTAAGCTGCTGTTTACTTCCCAGGTATCCTGGCTCTTCTGCTTTGTCCCTTGAGCTGTTTATGTCTGGTCAGTCATTCTCTGAAACTCCCATCAGGATTTGCTAATGGAGACTTTAAAAAAACAGTTTAACACAGAGAATCGTTAGTGCTCAAAATCTTTAAGTTTGGTCATTCCTCTTGAAGAAAATCAAATTCATATAGAATTAAGTTCAAGAGTAAGAGGTACCAAAATCCTGTGAAATGTCATGAAAATTTGAAGAGGCACACATCCATTGGCCAATTCTGCAAAAAACCTTAAGCTTATGAACTTAAATCAGGGGTCTTCAAACTTGGCCCTTTTATGACTTGTGGACTTCAACTCCCAGAATTCCTCAGCCAGCCATGCTGGCTGAGGAATTCTGGGAGTTGAAGTCCACAAGTCATAAAAGGGCCAAGTTTGAAGACCCCTGACTTAAATATAGTGCCATTTTTAAAATCATTTTTGCCATATTTTATCTTATCCTATTATGGTTTACGTGCTGAGGTATCATTCAATATTTTTAGCCTTTAGTTTAAAATGTAAAAAAATAATATATTTCTGCCTTTTAGCTTTCAGAAATGTTCCTCTTATTTTGAAAAAGAAATGCCTCGTACAAACAACTCCATGGACACCTTGTTCCCGAACTTGTGGTATTGGCATCTCTGACAGGGTGACCAATGGAAACAGTAAATGTGAAATGAGGAAGGAAAAGAGACTGTGTTATATTCAACCCTGCCAAGCAAATTTTACAAAGATTCTGAAGGTAAATTGTAAGGCCCAAACTGCCTCTTTACTCAGAAAGCAAATGCTTAATGAATACAGATTTAAAAAGAAATATAGTGCATGGATGATTGTGCAGAGCTATCATTTTGCCCTTTAGTTGAGTTATGGGCTAGGAAATAGTAGGGTCGAGGAACAGGAGTCAGGATTAATAGCTCAGTCATTTTAGTTCTGTGGGCCTTTTCCTACATTTATATCTACCAATTACTTGTAATTAAGGATTTGTTGCCTTCTGTCTGTTTTAGTGATTGCTGATGGAGGGGGTAGGCATTTTACATCAGTTGCATTGAGTTCTTATGCTGGCAGCCCATTATAAATTTACTTGACCAAATTACGTAAAAAGCTGCCCTAAATTCTACTATGTAATACAGTATGCATATTGACCATAATTTTCTATGTTTTCTGTGTGTATTTTTGAGATTCCAAAAGGAAAAACGTGTCGGCCCACCTTTCAGCTCGCTAAAGCTGAGAAACTAGTCTTCTCTGGATGCACAAGCAGACAAATATACAAACCTGTGTTTTGTGGAATCTGCCTGGATAAGAGATGCTGCATACCCAATAAGTCTGTAATGATTACAGTACAGTTTGATTGCCCCGAGGAAGCATCCATCAAGTGGAAGATGATGTGGATTACATCTTGTGTTTGTCAAAAGATATGTGATGATCCAGGAGACTTCTTTTCTGAACTCAGGCTTTTATAAGAAATGTGTGGAAAGAAAATACCCCCTCCTTTTTTTTTTGCCATGAAAAAGGTGGCCACGTCCATATTGAATGCAATTCACTATCCAGTATATAAAATATTAACCAAAAGGATTATTTTAAAATAGTTTTGAATGCCTTTAAACCTTAAGAATAAAAAGGAACCATATGAGAAAAAAACACTTATTTGCAGTATTATAGTCACTCTGAGCAAGAAGCAAATAATTAGCGGCCTCATGTGTTGATTTCAATTGGTGTGTTGATTTCAACACAATTCCTGAATATAATAAAACAGATTTACTTCAACCTGGTTATATACTTGAGAAAAACATCTTCATGCACATGGAATGGACCCATTTTATGTTATAGATATGGCTTGCTTGTTATAACTTTCAAAAATTCATCTTTTTGGAGTTGGTAGGTATCTTCTTCAAAATATCTACGCATCACAATATGATTCAAAATGTCCACCTTTCATAACTCAACATGCCCATATAATTTAGTTTGCATTTAGCAGTAACTCCCCAAATCTCAGTCAACAGCATAGCAAAACTAGCAATACTGTATATATATTTTGGTAGAAATAGAGACTGTAGAATTTCATTTTACTCTCAACCTGAAGATTTGCTCTATAACTGCTGTTTTTGTTAATCTTTCTACCCAACCATCAGAAGAAACTGGAAGGATCCTGGTCCGCATAATGATTATAATAATAATTAATAATTATGACAGTGTTTCATTTTCAAGAACACATAGAAAAATGCATCTCACTCAAAGCCACAGACTTCTGAAAGACTGCATCACACTTGGCTCTGAATTAGAATAACATCCAATAAAACTAGCAGTGTGTGTGCCTAAACCTCAGTTAAATTGGAGTAACTGATAGAATCTGAAACAGGGAACTGGATTCTAAACTAGACAGCTTTTACTTCATATTGGGATTTCTGTCTGCAGTAAACCTCATAGGTCAATAGGACAGTCAGCAAATATTGCACAGGTAATAATTCCAAATTCAAAACAAGGAATTATTTTACACTTATAAGGTATTAATATAAAAACCATGAGAAATATTTATATTCAAAATGGTTTCATTTCAAAAAATATACATACAAAACTAACAGTGCTTGAGATAAAAGTGCATTTCACAATATGTACGTTGAGATTTGTATTATCCAATCTCAGTACAGTCTCTGTGCAAAATAAAAAAATACATTATGAAACAGTTGGGCAAACTGAATGTTTCCACTTTCTTTCAAGAGTAACAGTAATTCTGATTGTCACAAAAGATCACTTGTTAAGAATTTATCAACTAGAACTGGTCTTAGGTTTTCCAACTGAATCCAGCCAACTTGAGTGGTGCTCACCGTGGGTTAGATTGCATGCACATTTTTTTTTTTTGTGCAAATAATTGAATTTTTCCTACTATGTCCCTGCATTGCTACATCACTATCTTCAATCTTGGTGGATCTACTGCAGGCCCACTGTTAGCAGCTTCAAGCTGATTATAGTCCTCTATTAAGTTTGACAGCGATGAAAGTGCTTCAGAGAAACAGTTCTGATCCATCCCATCAACATGTAGGTAATGATGAAGGTGAGCCTGCAGAAACAAGTATTAAATTATGCAGCATATCCTTTACTGGGATAAATATTTCACATAAATGCAATTGTTCTCCTAAAATTGAAAAATAACAGAACAAATGACCACTTATGGTGGAAAATCTACGTAGTTTTTTTTTTAAAATCTAGATATCATCTGTCACCTGCACTCTCTCTCTGTCTTTTTCTTGTTCCCTTTCTCTCCCATTCTGATTATATAATTTTGCACTGCAGCCAACTGGCCATTTATATACCTTCAAATATAATACAACCCTACTACAGTCTATAAACAGAGAAGCCAGCTGACATAGGTACATGATTTTTTGATACAGAACATTTCCTTATACTGCGAATAACACAAGTATAACTGAAGTAATTAAAACAGTTGCATGACTTCTCATTTTAGGGTATACCTTTTTCTTGTACAGCTTCGTGAATCTCTCTTTGAGTTCAATGAAAGTTGGTTTAATGCAGGTGTTATTTGCCAGTGCCAACAAAGAATGGGAATGACCAACTGGAGGTACTGAACACAAACCAGTTTTCCATCCTTCTTGATTCCAGGATACAAACTGAAGTGAAGGCTTCAACCTGCAACCAGAAAAATTAGGGCTGAAATAATAGCAAGCAATTATTAGTGCTATATTATGCTTCCTAAATGGACTATAACTCCAGGCAATAAAGTTAGATTATGATTAATAAGATTAGATTAGCATATCTCAAGGGCCTGGTTGGAGAAGATGCCATTACGCAGAGCAAAGTTAGTGGCAGATTTAACTATTTCCAGTGATATTTAAACTGATGCAGTAAAGACATTCTAACTATCCTTTTAATGGAAGTGCATTCAAAAGCATTTGCCAAAAATTGATGCAAAATCTGAGTTTTACATTCTGTGTGCTAGTTTCTAAACCATGTATCAAATTGATGTCTAAAGATGCCTAAAAGATCTTGGGAACACAGAAGACGCACTAAGACTCTTAAGGGAGAAAACAGCTTTGTCACAAAAGAGATTCTTGAGTCCAGGGAGGTGAGGGTGGGGGAAACATGAGAAAAATAATAGTTCTGCCTTAATACAGCAGGTGTAAGTTCCACAGAATAATGACTCTGTGGGCTTTATGATTCTTACATATTCCTAGCAATAAAGATCTTTCTAGAAATCCAAGTGATTCTTGTTTTCTGAGTTGGCCAGCCTCGCAGGGCTTCTGAACATTACATGTAGATCAAAATTCTAATTAACCAGTGGAACAACCTGCCTCCAGAAGCGGTGAATGCGCCAACACTGGAAGTTTTTAAGAAGAAACTGGACAGCCATTTGTCCGAAATGGTATAGGGTTTCCTGCCTGAGCAGGAGGTTGGACTAGATGACCTCCGAGGTCCCTTCCAACTTTATCATTATTATTATTATATAATCATTTACAACATAAGTGTACCTGTGCATTAGGAAGAGATCACACTAATCTCAAAAATGCTGTATTTTGGCCTTTTGAAAAAGCAATTAGTAATTCTTGAGAACATATGTTTTAGTACAAACCGTTCAATATTTCTACGAAGATCTGAAACTTGTACGTTTCCTCTGACTAAGAGGGCGCAAGCAAGGTACAAATTATGTCTTGGATCAGCGCGTAACAGCTGGTGTTCTTTGCTAAAAGCATCAGAAAACATTTGATCCAACCTAAAAAAACAGAGGAATTGTTTAACAGTATTCAGAATATATGACAAATAAGGTATATATGTATTTTGTATGTATTCTGGTTGCAAGCTTTTGGAAACTATACTGTAGTTATATGAATAGTAAGAACATATAAGTAGTAATAGTAAGAATAGTAAGAATTTTATTTCCTACAATCCTCCCCACCCCACCCCTGGTTCCCAAAAGGCCAGGTACATGTCCTATAGAATCTCAAAAAGCAATATAATCTTCCTCAAAAGGAAAAGAAAATCAGATTTGTTTGTAGATTCTGACAATAGAGCAGACTGAGCAAAAATAATACAAATTCTGGTCAAGTGAACAGCAGGCCTCACGTCTCCTGAAGAGGTGTAGTTAAACTAATACAATCCTTAGGTCAGAAAGGCCTTGTGTTTTGATTATATATTACCTGAAATAAGGAAAATGAATTTTTCCATTTTTAGCATCCTTATTTACACCCATCAATCAAACCGGTCACATCACAAAGGGTTGAGAACTAGCAATAATATCTATACACAAAAGGATAACACAAAAGATAAGCCAGCTGCTTATCTTCTCAGTGCAGTTAGCAAATAATATGCCAAATACTTAAAACTATAGGAATGGATGGAAATGGAAAGCATAACTAAAGATGAGCAAGCAGGATTCAGAGAAGAACATATTCTTGTACTATACCGTCTCATACAGAAAATGTTCAGAAAAAGAAATCCTCTGCATACTTTACCTTCTTACATTTCAAAGCTGCCCATTATGCACCAGAAGGCAAGATAAGAACCAGTGGATGGAAACTCAAGGAGAGAAGCAACCTAGAACTAAGGAGAAACTTCCTAATGGTGAGAGCAATCAACCAGCCGAATAGCTTCACTGGAGGCTTCCAAGAAGAGACTGGACAACCATTTGTCTGAAATGGTATAGGATCTCCTGCTTGAGCAGGGGGTTGGACTAGAAGATCTCCATGGTCCCTTCCAACTCTGTTATTCTATGTTATGTTATGATGTGTTATGTAGAACTATTCCATGGGAGAAAGTTAAAAAAAATATTTATTGACAGGCCCCTTTATTGATTCACAATTAACACTAATGCTTTTTTTAAGAACGAGATGCCATTCACAAGGGACCTTCTCTGACACCCTATGCATACAAAGAGGAGACTGCCAAAAATATATTCAGTTCTGTTCAAACTGTATATCAACTGTATGGTAGAAGTCCTCACCTACCCAGACTTCCATCCTCCTAAAAAGGCAGGGCATAAGATCCCAATACTCCTTTATGCAAATGACATTGCAATCATATTGCAACTCTCGACTAGGCTTAAAAGCACAGCAAGCTAAATAGTCTGATATTCGGTTTTAAAAATATCTAAAATATTAACTTTTGGTCTATAAGGCAAAGACTAAGGCTGGATTATAGAAGGGAACAGAATAAAACAGATGTATATCTGTAATCTTCTATTCCAAAGAGACCTAGTATGCCTAATTTAGTCCTAACCTGTTCTTGCACGCCAGGATTACAACTTCCAGTCAGCTTTAAAATAATCAGCTGCCCATAAAGGACTTTATTTAAAAAAAATCAAGTTGGAGAATTAATACCTTAAGCATAAAAATTCTTTAACGATAGAACCTTAACCAAATTATACATGCTGCACAAGTGAGAATTTATGCTGAGAAGAATTAAAGCCAGTACAAGCCAAGGATTTTGATCAGATTGTAGACAAGGATGCCTA